TAGACAGCTTCACAGCTCTATGCTCAACCAGCTGCGCCACCGGTGAGGCCCGAGTTACGTATTTTTAACTGTAAAAATACTTTCACACAGCCAACTTACAGCTTTAAATATTTTCTAAATACCAATTAATTAAAAAAAATCAGAAAATAAAATTGTGAAAAAGTGAAAGTCAGCCTTTATCTTATGTCTCAGAGAAATACTTGTATGTAGGGTGAGTTCTTCCAGGTACTTCATATTTTTCAGTACATGTATAAAAAATACACATATGTAACTTTAAAAATTGAGCATATATAACTTTAAAAAAAAGATTTATTTATGCATATAAGAACTGGGGTGCAGGCCAGAAGTGCAGGGGGTGAGAGGATTTACCAGAGACAGAGGGGGGGAGCAGAACAGGCAGATTACTGAAACACACTGCTGAGTGGAGCAGCAGGCGAGGCAGGAGAGGTCTGCTGTGCCATGTGGGTTGCTCCCTGGCTGGGGATGGAACTCTTGCAGTGACTGTGGATAGCTTCACAATGCTGTGCTTAACCCCTTGCGCCACCAGGGAGGCCCAAGCATATATAACTTAAAAGTTCATACTTACATGAGCTGCTTGTATTAGCATATTTATCTTAGTGTGTTATATTTAGCATTTCATGTCAATATAATGCTAACCATCATTTAGTGGACAATGTGTAGTTAAATACGGAATTACATCATAAGATTTTTACTATGTTGGAGAAATAAAGCACTTCTAGAGGTGGAGCTGTTTATAGGTAACAGTGTTTCTTTTACATTTGGGCTATTTAGGTTTTTGGGTTAGGATAGACATTTTGTTATTTTATGTTCTTGCTTTTATCCTTAATCTTACAGTGAACATCCTTGCCTTTGTTACCTTGGTAATTTCTTTATGGTGATCCTTAAATAGTTGAATAACGTGTATCTACATATTTAATGAAAAAGGAGCAGTGGCATACATATGGCCTTTAAAAAACAAGTTATGTAGAAAGGCATACAGTGAATCAGCCCCTCCCTGCTCATCACCACTTAGTCATCCCCTTCACAGGCTGTCCTTGATCTCCGTTTTTGTTGTCAGCTCTATTTTGAAAGGAAATGATAATTTTCATGAATCTTTCTTGTGAGAGTCTCAAGAGTTCCCATGTGGCCTTTGAATAAAACAGACTAAATCTTGGGGAAAGCATCTCTGTGTCTAATCCAAATGTAATTTTAGGTATGGTGCCAATCTTGTCTCTCGGGATTGTGTCCTTTGTGCTATCTGAACCTAAATTATATTAGGAATACTATAGAAAATCTGACTTTCAAGAGTATGGACATCCCTTCCAGAATTAGTACTCATGCCCTTATAAATATTTGGTTCGTTATAGAACCAGAATTAGACCTTTTTTTCGCTACTCCATGATTCAGTGTTACATTTTAATTTCATTTATTTTCAGTGGCGGTTTCTTTATTTGCTTGAAGTTCCGTATTTTTGCTAATTTGTTTTGTGGGCATAGCAGCAAGGCAGATATAAATGAATTAATGAGCATATGTGTCATCAGCTTCATAAAATTCCTTTGATGTTAAAACTCACCTAAAACTCATTTCTTCTTAATAATATTTATATTCTAAAACAGTCATTGGGTTTGCACACATATACTACACTCATGTGCTCCAAGCTTACAGATGCTCTAGCTACCAAATCAAATGATCTATTTTAAAAATAAATAATTTCAATACTTAATAATTTAGATATATTTAAATATATATTATAAATTTTTTTTTTTTTTAAAAGATTTATTTATTTATTTACACAAGCACTGGGTATAGTCAGAAGCACGGGAGGGTGAGAGAATTCACCAGAGCCAGGGCGGGGAGCAGAGCAGGCAGAAGGACCAAAGCACACTGCTGAGGGGAGCAGCGGGCGGCAGGAGAGGTCTGCGCGCCATGTGGGACCCTCCTCCGGTGGCCGGGGAGCAACCGGGGACAGAACCGGCGCTGCAGAGGCTGCGGGCAGCTTCGCAACCCAGCACTCAACCTCTGCGCCACCGGGGAGGCCCTATTATAAATATCTTTATAAAACATATAAATATATATTTAAAAATAAAGATTATCATGAACTTGATGTTTATAGGTAGAAATATTAGTACCTTCCATTTTTTGTAATCTCCAAAATTTATCTCTAATCATTTTTACATCCCTCTAAGATCTCCTTCTTTAAAATGTAGTAACCTAAGACAGAAATGGTGAGCCTATAGTTTGTTATTGTGTTGGACAATGCCATGATCTGAAGTTCAGGTTAGATGAGTAGGATGAAGGACTTCTAGGGCTGACATATTGGTCTTTTCTTGCAGTCCAGTGTGACTCATCATTGTAAGTAGAGAGACAAATCATATTGATTCCATAGCTAGACAGTGATTATTCAAAATAAATTTTAGGTTTGTGTTTTGCTCCTGGTTTATAAATTTCAAGCTTTCTTATTTATTATTTTTTTAATTATTTTTAAAAAAGATTTATTTGTGTATGCATATAAGAACTGGGGTACAGGCCAGATGTGTGGGGGCTGAGAAAATTCACCAGAGACACAGTGGAGAACAGAATAGGCAGATCAGCTGAAATGCACTGCTGAGGGGAGCAGTGGGCGTGACAGGAGAGGTCTGCTGCTCCGTGTGGGTTTCTCCCTTGCTGGGGACAAAACTCTTGTTGCAGTGGTTGCGGGTAGCTTCAGTACAGAAATATATGGATGTACATGTGTATTTATTTATTTATTTTAATAAATTTTATTTTATTTTATTTTAAAGATTTATTTATTTATACAAGCACTGGGTACAGTCAGAAGCACGGGAGGGTGAGAGAATTCACCAGAGCCAGAGCAGGGAGCAGAACAGGCAGATGGACAAAGTACACTGCTGAGGGGAGCAGCGGGCCACAGGAAAGGTCTGCGCGCCATGTGGGACCCTCACCCGGCGGCCGGGGATTGAACCGGTGCTGCAGAGGCTGCGGGCAGCTTTGCAACCCAGCGCTCAACTGCTGCGCTGGGCCACAGAATGTGTATTTATTTTTAATCGTATTATTTTTTATTGAGGTAATGTTGGTATACAGCACCATATGTGAATCAGAGTTACCAAGTCACACCTCTTCAGAGGTTACTACACCACCCCCACCATAAAGGCACCATGGTTGCTCCTACAGTCCACTGAGCCACCCACCCCGCTTTGTTTTCCACCTTTCCCGTCCCCAACTGGTAGGCTCAGTTCTGCAAGTTATTCTACTTCTTGGCTTATTCTCAGAAGGTGGCATGCTTCCAAAAATTGTTTGTTTCTTTTACGTTATCCACTTTATCAGCATATAGATGTTCATGAAGTTCTCTTATAATTCTCTGTGTTTCTGAGATGTGTGTTTTAGCTTTTCCTCTTTTCATTTCTGATTCTGTTTATCAGAGTTTTCTTTTTTTTTTTCTTCTTTGTGACCATAGCTGTTGCTTTTGGCTTCATTGCTCTTTTGAATTTTTAAATTTCTATTTCATTTAGTTCTCAAATTTTTATTATTTCTTTCATCTTCTTGCCTTTTGATTTTGTTTTTCTCTAGTTCCTAAAAGTGTAAGGTTATTTGAGATCTGTATTGTTTCTTGGTGGGCCTATAGTGCTATATATACACATCCCTCTTAGTACTACTTTTGCTGCATTCCATAGTTTCTGGTACCTGTGTCTTATTTTTGTCTGTCTCCTGGTATTTTAAAATTTCTTCTTGTTAACCAAATAGTCATTTAGTGGTATGTTATTCAGTCTCCACATATTGAGGTTTTTCTTGCTTTGTTTTTGTGGCTGATTTCTAAGTTTTTTTTTTTTTTTTGGGAAGATTTATTTATATAAGAACTGGGGTACAGCCAGAGGTGCGGGAGGGTGAGAGAATCCACCAGACGACAGAGCAGGGAACAGAACAGACAGATGGAAAACACTGCTGAGGGGAGCAGCGGGCAAGGCAGGAGAGGTCTGCCACGCCATGTGGGTTTCTCCCCTGCTTACCGGGAATTGAACCCGTACTGCAGAGGCTGCAGGCAGCTTTACAGCGTGGCGCTCAACCTGCTGCGCCGCCGGGGAGGCCCTTATTTCTACTTTGATACCGTTGTGAGCAGTGAAAACACATGCTTTTTTAAACTGCAAAATGAGATTACACTTTGTAAGTGACTTTCCCTATTTTGCAGCAGATGTGTTGAGGTATACTTTCTATTAAGTAAAAATCACCCCTTGTACAGTTTTGTAAGTTTTGACAAAATTATATAATCCCCACTATAATTAAGACAAGAGATATGTCACTCACTCACATTTTCTTGTATCCCATTTGTAGTCATCATCTTCACCTTGCACTCATTTATCTCTCTATTTGGTCTTTCTTACAAAATGTCATATAAATAACACTGTATAGTTTAAAGTTAGGCATCTTTCACGTAGCATATTTTTTCCTTTAAGGTTTTTGATTTAAAATTATGTTACAGGCTATTTTGATGAACATAATTCATGTTTTTTTTTCCCCATAAGCATTTTTTTTTTTTTTTTTATAGAGGCATGTTTTTTTATTTATTTATTATTTGTTTGTTTGTTTTGTTTATACAAGCACTGGGTACAGTCAGAAGCGTGGAGGTAAGAATTCACCAGAGCCAGAGCGGGAGCAGAGCAGGCAGAAGGACTGAAGTACACTGCTGAGGGGAGCAGCGGGCGGCAGGGAGAGGTTGCGCGCCATGTGGGACCCTCCTCCGGTGGCCGGGAGCAGCCGGGGATTGAACCGGCGCTGCAGAGGCTGCGGCAGCTTCGCAACCCAGCGCTCAACCGCTGCGTCACCGGGGAGGCCCCTCCCCATAAGCATTTTAATGCTTCATTTAAAAATATTCCTTTAGTCATTTTTGCTCTTGTTTTAGTATATGTTGTGAGGCGGAAAATTTTTAAAAATAGGTCAGTTCATCAAAATTTTTCCAATTGAACTTGCTAATATAGTACTCATACTAAATATTGCTTTCCCCACAGGTAACACAAGTAGCAAGACAGCCCGGACCCCCGACCCCCTCCCCTTACTCAGCTCATGAAATAAACAAGGGGCATCCAAGTCTTGCGGCAACGCCCCCGGGACATGCATCGTCCCCTGGACTCTCTCAGGTAAGAACACCTCTTCTTTTTTAAAGGAAATTTCCATGTAAAAGCAGCATTACTGTTTCTCTAAAGTACTAACATACAACATTACTTGAAGAGTAGTTTCTGGTTTGATTTTTACATTACATCTTTCAGACACATCTTCCCTAATGGTGATTAGTAACAGTTTTATACATTTCCTTTATGAAATAAAGAATTAATAGTCAGTGATAATTTAGTTTTCCTTTTGCTGTTTTAGAAATTAGAGTATGTCTCTAAAGTCCATTAAAAACCACACAGAGCACTTGTTTGCTTCTTCAGTGCCTACTCTGCCTCTTCTCCCTTTTTGTGGAGTGTTGTGGTGATTTTCTAATTTGGTTAAAAAGTAAGAATATATTTCCTGCTCAAGTAATTTTAGTGGTTTTTTTGTTGTTGTTTGGTTTTGATTATTAGAATTTGTTAGGTCTAAAGATTTGTTGAACTGTTAAAGAATATTGAACTCCTTAGTGTATTTTCAATTAACATGTCCAGCAGACTTTGTTACAATAAGTGTTTGAGAAGGTTTATGTTTTAAGATGTGAGTGTGGGTCTCCGCTGCACTTTTATTTATTTATTTATTTATTCATTCATTCATTCATTCATTCATTTATTTATATTTAAAGATTTATTTATTTATGCATATAAGAGCTGGGGTACAGGCCAGAGATGCAGGGGATGAGAGGATTCACCAGAGACAGAGTGGGGAACAGAACAGGCAGACCAACTGAAATACACTGCTGAAGGGAGCAGCGGGTGAAACAGGAGAGGTCTGCTGTGCCATGTGGGTTGCCAGCCGGGATTGAACTCGTGCTGCAGAGGCTGCGGATTGCTTCATGGTGCGATGCTTAACCCCTTGCACTACCAGGGTTCTCTGCATTTTTATTTTTTAAAAAAAAAATTATTTTTTTTATTTATACAAGTGCTGGGGTACAGGCCAGATGCACAGGAGGGTGAGAGGATTCACCAGAGACAGCGGGGAACAGAACAGGCAGACTCATGAATTACACTGCTCAGGGGAGCAGCGGGCAAATCAGGAGAGGCCTGCTGTGCCATGTGGGATTCTCGCCAGCCAGCCGGGATCAAACCCGCGCTGCAGAGACTGCAGACAGCTTCACAGTACAGTGCTCAACCATCTGCACCACCAGGGAGGCCCTCACTGCATTTTTAGAAAAGATTTTAATTATGCATACAAGAATTGCGGTGTAGGCCAGAGGTGGGAGGGGTGAGAGGATTCACCAGAGACAGAGTGGGGAGCAGAACAGGCGAATCTACTGAAATACATTGCTGAGGGAGGCACCGGGCGAGACTGAAGATGTCTGCTGTGCCATGTGGGTTAGCTCACTCGCTGGGGATAGAACTCATGCTGCAGTGGCTGGTGATAGCTTCATAGTGTTGAGACTTAATCCCTTGAGCCACCAGGGAGGCTTCCTTGGTATTCATGTTCAATATAAAAGATTATAAGATATATCAGGGAATTGGAGTATTAAGGGTTTGGTGATAAGAAAGAAATCTCTAAAATAACAATAGTAAATATAGGGAGCAGCTCCTTTTCTTGGATATAAGCTTAGGTAGCCGTGATAAGGCTTCTTCTCCAGAGTTGATATTGAAGACACATGACTTTGGCTTATCTAATATTTGAGAAGTTACTATAGTATCATACCAGTGGAACATACTAGAAAATCTTCTGGACCTTTCTGAAAATTCACCCTACGGGTAATGGGCAAAACTGGCTACTCTAGCATTGGTCTCCTCTAGCAAAGAGCTGTTACAGGGCACAGTGGCTGGAGACTCCTTGTTGCATCTCTTTTTGCTGCAGTAGTACAGATAACCTTGGATCTGTTGGATCATAAGTCTCATGTAGTAAGGCAGCTTATGTTGCAACCTGAGTTCACTCAAAGCTGTCTTTTGCACTCTTCCTCACTTAAAATTGAAACCTCCAGGTTGACTGAGGCAGTGCACTCAAGTGTAGTTTGTTGCCTCTGAAATCTGAAAAAGGCTTATTACCAAATCTTGTGTGTCTTCCTGGTGGTAGTCTCTTATCCACCCTGGATTGAGATCTAGAGCTTGTTGGATATAGGGAATGTTGATATAGGGAATGATGGATATAGGGAATGGTAGAGAAGTTGCTGTGGTGCCAAGTCAGTGAAATTTACTGGAAACCCATCCTCTGGAACTTGCTGGAATTCTGTTGGGGGAGGCTTCTTTGCCATGGCAAAAGTACCTGAGAGGAAGGCAGCAGGGGTAGCTTTTGACCACTGGGTACTGCTGGCTGCTGTGCGATGCAGTGCCAGAAGGCCAGCACTGAAGAAGCTCTGTACTCTTGAGCTAGGCACTGGAGAAGCCAGATTCTGGAGAAACTACCTCTGCTGCAAGAACTGCTGTGCAAGCTCTCAGGAACCAGGAAGTAAAATCCTTTCCTCACAGTATCTGTGGTGCCCTCTACTGACAAAGCTTAACATTATACTAGCTGAAATGGAAAAATACTTGAAGAGCCCAGATCTATTTTCACTGTATAGGCAAACAAGTGAATTTTTAGCTGAAAGTCAAGCAGTCAATAACTGACATATAGGGAAAGAGCTTTGTTTTCCATTTCAGATTCTTACTGTTTCAAGTTATGATTTGACTCAAAGCATTTGGCCCAAAGCACTTAAGTTTTCTGAAAGACAGGGCTGCTTGCATTTTAAAAAAGGGTGATTTGTAGTGACTCAGTTATTGAGCCCACAAATCCCTTTCTGCATGTCATTTTATTAGCTGCCTGTAGAAGCCAGAGCACATGATTTCCAGGGAACAGGGTTACCACATACTATCTTGCTTTCCTTTGTGGTCTGTTTTCCTACCCTTTTGCCTAATCTGACAGATAAATGAACCAGTAAATCATACCTGGTTCACTAACTCCCCCACCCCACCTTTCAGACAGAGGCAGCCTTATATAGATTGATTTTGTATTCTCATAATGTCTTCATATCATTTTTGTAAATTGGCATACCTGGAAAAATGGGGGAGTTTTGTGGAAAACTTGGTATACTTAGGTTAAATTGTTGCATGGTTCATAGACTTTAGGGGAAAGTAGTGCCTTTATAATAGAAGAAAAAGGATTATAGGCTTAGGGTCAAACAGACCTAGCTTCTGGAACTTGGTCTGTCACTTTTTGGTTACACGATGTTGGGTAAATTATGTAATATCTTTGGAAATTGTTTTCTTCATCTGTTACATAGTGGAGAATTAGAATCTACCACCCTTAGAGATGGTTATTATGAAAAAAAAGTCATGGGTAGACTAGGACGTGCTGTATGATTTCAGTGAATGCCATTTATTATTTTCATGCCGTCTGACTTGGCTCTGATCAGGATTTTTGTGTGTGTATGTGTGTTTAACTCTCCTAATTTGGCTACCTGTCTGGCTTGGGTGTGAAGCTCAGAAGCTCTCCCCAATAGTTTGAGATGGTTTCTATGTTCTATTTCCCTGACATGAGGATAAACGTTGTGGTCAGGATGGGTCATTTTGTGTTGGTTATAATAGAGTTTATTCTTGTGCAGAGTACTGTTAGATTCAAATCAAGTGAAGATAAAAGATGAATCGAACTTCTTTACCCACATTGTCTTCTTATAGTGATGGCCTCCTCTTCGGTGAATCAGGTTTTTTTTTGTCAGCATAGCTATACTGCAACTTGTTGGCTGACACAAAATAAATCTGGTGAGGTCTTAAGTGGTAGCTAAGCTAAAGCAAATGAATTTCATAGCTTTGAAAGATAAAAGGGAAAAATGTAGAAAATTGCTTCTGATCTCTTCCTTATGTGTCATCTTTATGTACATCTTTTTTTTCAAAAGCTTCACACATGCATGCGTGCACATGCATGTATACATGCTGCGTTTTAAGGCTTTATGTTCATTTTCCTTTGTTATATGACTTCTAAATCTTTCCTTTTGGCCTGTTGGAAGTTTTGGTTAATCCAAGTCAAAAACTTTAAACTACTAGAAATTAATAAAGTGACATTTTCAAAGTATGGCAAATTTGTGAAACACTGTCTTTTTAGGTATGAATTCTTTTCAGGGTGTCCTGAAATGGCAGTGCTTGAATAGTCTCTGAAAGCCAAGAAATTCCTTACTCTGGGAATGCTTTGGGATTTAAATCATCTTTTGGGGCAGATTTCATAGAGAAATGTATTCTCCCATGAGTTGGAGACCTGGGTTCGAGTCACAAAACTGCCAGGGGGTTTTCAGAGTTCCATCTTACCGAAGAAGTTCCTATTAGTGCTCAAATTTACCTCTTGGTGGATAAAATGTATTCTATTAGATGAGATCTGAATTCCTTTAAAATTTCAACGGGTTTTAGAATTACTTCAGAGTAGCCAGTTGTTACTAAAATTTTTTGAATTTTTTTTTATTTTAGATTTAAAATTTGACAAACTTTGCATTCTCTTTCATTTTGGAGCTTTTTTAAGTATCAGAAGCTGGTTCACATTTGCTTTTACTCAGTAAATTTTCACAGAATTGAGTTAAATTTCAAACATGTAGATCAGGCAGGTAGCCAGGTTCTGCATTTCTCTTGGCTTCACTGTCTAGGCTGCTAAGGTATGTTCACAGCACTCAGTGAGGAGCCATGCTCAGAATAATGTCAACAAAGTGGAATGTTACATGTTTTATACCCATTGTTCCGGAAGTTTCATTTGATTCCTCTTTTTTTCCTGATAAATCAACTCAGTCATGTTATATAGTGGACTGATATGATCATGATTTATGATCCCACTGAGCAAAGGCCTTCTTTACTGAGGAATAGTGATTGAGCATGATATTTATTTTAACACTGGAAGTTTCATTGTTACTAAAGATAGCATGCCACATGACTCATGGTCCCTATAATCTGTTCTCTCTGCCCATCTTTTGTACTTCGTTTTGCCTATAGAGGAGTGGTTTTACCTAAGTTTAAATTCTCAGTGTTGTTTCAGTTGTTACTGATTTCATGTTTCGTAACTGTTCTTTATTTATTAA